AATTAGATAATCTGTTATTTGCGAAAAACTTTCAAAGATCAATTCACCCCCCCTCTTGATCTAAAAATACTTTTCTAACAGTACATCCTTAATCTCCAAAGTGTTTGCACCACCTATATTTTCAATTCCAAGAATCTTTCCTTTGTTGTTGTCCCCATAAGTTACATATCCTTGTTCTTTAGCTTTGAAACTCACAAATTTCGTTTTGTCACCGGTCATATGCTTTGAGCATCCGCTATCAAGATATCACATAGACTTCTTTGATTTGGAAGTTTCCTACAAAACAAGAACATAGTAAACTTAGGTCTCCATAACTTTTGGGTCCTTGGGGTTAGAGACAAACAATTCATTTAATTAAAGGAACCCTAATATATTTTCCTTTAGGAACACCAAAATGTTTGATTTTACATCTATTTGAAGTATGATCATGTTTTATACAATAAAAACATGCTTTAGATGTAGCTTTTGAATATGATGCATTTCTAACAATAGATGATTTAGTTCCATTTTCAACCCATACTATTCTCTTTTTCATTTTAGACTTTTTCAAAGGAACTTGATGGTTTACTCTATTTTGAGCTATAACAACTTTATCTTTATTAATGTTACTTATCTCCATTTCGGTTTTATCTAGCAAATGATTAAGTATATCAATGTCATATTCATACTCTTTACAAGATGCATATACTATATTTTTATCATCATTCTCATCTATGCATACAATTTTCGTTTCTATGGTTTCCTTTTCCTCTAAACATGCAATTTTCGTTTTTAAGGACTCTACCTCCTTTTCGGATCTACTTAAACTCCTTTTCACAACTTTGTATTCATTTTTCAAGTCCTTAAAGGCACTAAACAATTCATTATATGCATTTTGCAATTCATCGAAATTATTTTCATCATCACTTGAAGATGAGTCGGAATCACTTACCTCAAAATCGAAAGATATGTTGTCATTTGCCATTAAGCAAATGTTGGCTTCAATTTCTGAGTCACTTGATTCCGAACTTGAATCACTATTGTCCCAAGCGATGTAGGCTTTCTTCTTGAAGAACTTTTTGCCTTTGTTTTCTTCATTTTTCTTGTTTGGACATTCGGTCTTCATATGTCCTGCTTCACCACAACCATAACATTTGATATTTACAGAAGAATTTTCTCTTACCGTTCCTTTACCTTTGAATGGATGTCTTCCTTTGGCTTTCATAAATTTTGTGAACTTCTTTATCATAAGAACCAATTCTTCTTCTTCATTCTACAAGTCTTCTTCTTCCTTTTTATTCTTCAGTTTTGAAGGCTAAGTTCTTCTTTTGATATTGTCCTTCCTCATCATTTAGCCTTCCTAGCTCAAGCTCATACTCTCTCAACTTTCCAAAGAGCGCGCGCCATAGACATTGTGGCAAGGTTTTGTGACTCCGAGATGGTCGTCACTTTAGGTTGTCATTTCCTATCCAAAGATTTCAAGATTTTAACATTTAATTCATCAACGTCAAAAATTTTACCTAATCTGGTGAGATGGTTCACAATATGCGTGAAACGCTTTTGAACGTCAAATATTGTTTTGCCTTGTTGCATTTGGAACATCTTGTTAGAAATGTAGGCTGAGATCAAGAGGGGGGGTGAATTGATCTTTGAAAGATTTTCGCAATTTACAGATTATCTATTTCAAATATTAAGATTTCTGACCAGATCTTGAATCACACACAGCAAGCAATCAAAAATAAGTGCAGTGACAGAATTAAAGGAGAGAAAGGTTTAGAAAGATACAACCAAGATTTATACTGGTTCACCCAATCCCAGGGCTACGTCCAGTCTCCAGCCAAATTCCAGCTGGGTTCCACTAGATTGAACGTTTTACAGATTACAACTTTAATCTCACACTCAATCTACCACAAGAACACGTATTACAGTGAGCTGATACAGAAAATGGTTTTTCTCACTGTAATAATCGATTATTTGGTCTTTTAATCGATTAAACCCGTGACTTTTTGATAAAAATGAGTTTTTGAAGCTTCTAAATAGTAGACTATGTACCGATTATCTTAAACTCTAATATTACAGACTCAAACTCATCAAAACAAAGTTATTACACAAGAATACAAGTCTTCAACTCTCTAAGTTTTTATTCTTGAATCATCATCAAAATCAACAAGCTTCATGTCCATGTAAGATCAACATCAAGTCCTTGTATGTGTTCAACATTTTTTACTAATTTAAATATTATTAAATACTTTCTACAAATTTAAATTTATAGAAAATAATTTTAAAAATTTACCAATTTTTTTAGATAGTTTTTCAAAAAAATTATAATTATTTCAAAATAATTTATTTTAGATATAAAAAATAATTTATATATATAATTAATATATTTAGAGTAAATTTGGTAAAAATAATTTTTTTAAGAAAAAATTGTAATTAATTTTTGTTGATATTTTTTTAAAAAGATAAAAATTATTTTTTATAATTAAATATTTTTAGAGAAATTTACAAGTATTTTTTGTAAATAATTTTTTATAAAAAAATACAGAAAATAAATAATTTTTAGTAGAAAATTGACTTGGATTTGTAAGATACACGTAAAAAAGTCTCTAACAAATTTGCATTGAAACTGTGAGAGAATGATTTCTAGCAACTTAGTATTCTTTTTAATTTGATATTTGATATAAATTTGTTACAATTTAGCTATGATTATATGTTACATAATTTAGTTAGGAAATAGCTTCAGAAGATAAGATAACTAATATATATAGCGAGAGATTAGTGACAAAAATTGTCCTAGCTAAATTATTTTTCTACTAAGTGAGGGAATAACTACAAAAATATTAGTCTTCTAGCTATTTTACTACAGATTAGCTACAACTTTATTTTTTTACTATTTTATCGCTAATTAGCTACAAATTAGTGAAAAATAAATTTTGTAGCAAATTTTACTAGTTAATTACCAAATTTCTTGTGGTACATCTATTTTTTCCTCACCACTACTTCCATCAATTTTGTTTTTGAACGGTGACAAACCACATATCAGACACATCTTTAATATAGCAAAATCATTTTTGTACAATATATAATCATTAGGACATGCATATATCTTCTTGTACTCTAAACTCATTGGATATAATATCTTCTTTGCCTCATAGTTACAAATATGTAATGTATTATCTTCTTTGCCTCATAATTTGGTGAAACTTTTATCAATCCATCAATTTCTTGTTTTTAAAATGAACAATTTTAAAGTTGTTGATAATCTTGTATACAATTGTTGCTCAAAATCAGATTTCAAAGAATCATATAAATGTGTTTTCTTAAAAAAAATTTCACCAATATCATGTATCATATCCTCTAGATTATCATTCATCCATTTTTCAAAATTTTCTATTGTTCACATAGTTGGGATGTCTAATTTTCCATATTGTATAATTCTTAACAATACCATAAATAAATAAGTGATCACGTATATCCTCAAGTTCATAACGAATTTGATTCAAATAATGAACGCATGGACAATAGTATGTCTCTTTGATAGGTTTTCCATTTTTATGAATACATTTTAAAAATTCTTCAACTCCTTTCTTTTCACTCTTAGAGATTCAAAATTCATATTTAAAAAAAATATACAAACAATAAAAAATGTGTTTGAGATGTAAATACAGTGTGTAAACCGAAAATGCACTCAAACGAATAAATAAATAATAACAAATTACAATAATTCAATTTCAATAACAATTCAGTGGAGACATGAATGTAATAACGCGATTGAGAGTCAAAAAAATAGTTACAGATTCAATTTGAACATATAAAAGGAGACATAAAACACTAACCTTGAATATATACAAAAACGCTCTAAAAATCAAATCTAATTGGAGAGAAACATCAATCACCACAAATGAGACACAATATTGATGTTTTCGTCACTCATAATAGTCAAAATATATCCTTTTGTCATCGTCCTCATCAAAAACTCTTATCGCACGAGACAAAAAAGTAGCATTTGATGAGAATTAAACGCGAATCTTATTTAATATTTTAAAAAAATTATCAAAATAAATTTATTAATAAAAAATACTAATTATTAAAAAATAATTTAGAATTAGAATTTATATTAAAATAGGTTCACTACTAAAAATAGGTTGTTAAATGAATATTTGATTTAAATGAATACCATCATCGAGTAAAACAAGAAAACCGCAACATATACCAATTAAATGAAGCATTTGGGAAGGCAAGCGGTGACCCTTATGGATGGGATCGATACAGAAGCTGTAAACTTCTGCAACTTATGGCAGTAGTTTTGAGTTTTTGTTTTTACGCCTGTGCCATGCATGAATGCATGCATGGAGGGCAAAACAAAGAAAACCGCAACATATCCCAATCAAATGAAGGCAAGGAATGACCATTATCAATGGGGTACAAAGCTAGCTAGCAGTTCATTTGTGCAACGTGCATGCAACGTACGACAGCGCATGCAGTTATGTGTTTTATGATTACACGTCGAAAAAAGAAAATGCAGTGTAGCTGTGCATGGTATAAAAGATTAAGTCTCGTCTCTTGCATGAAGAAATGTCGTTTAATGAACTACAAGGATAATAAATATGTACAGAACTCTTTTTTCCAGAATTATAATCATTATTAAAAATTATTGGTGTTCTGAATTTCTCTGTTTTTCAAATTTGATTTATTATTTGTAACAAACACAAGAAAACATATCCCAATTAGATGAAGGCAAGGAATGAGCCTTATCAATGAGGTACAAAGCTAGACAGCAGTGAATTTGTAGAACGTGCATGTAACTTTACGACAGCACATGTGGTTGCATGTTTTACGATCTACACGTGGAAGGAAATGCGGTGTAGGTGTGTGCATGGCATGGAAAATTAAGTGTCCTGTATTGCATGGAGAAATGTCGCTTGATGAGGCTACGAGGATTATAAATAGGTTGGAGGGAAACATCGAATTGCATGAAACTAAGCAATTAAAGGTGTAAGGTGAAGAAAAATATAGAGAGAATGGGTAGTTGGGAGAGAGTATCACTGAGCGTGGTAGTGACTGTGTTGTTCCTCTTGACAACGTCGTTGGCGGAAAAGGAGAAACCAGGCATTGCGGTGTACTGGGGGCAGAACCCTGGAGATGGGAGCTTGCAGGATACATGTAACTCTGGCAACTATAAGATTGTCCTTATGAGTTACCTCAAGGAATTCGGTTGTAACAGAGACCCATCATTAGATTTTGATGGGCACTGTGGTGTGGGAATCAAGCCTTGTAAGAGTCTACATTCGGAAATACAAGGGTGCCAGAAAAAAGGTGTGAAAGTGCTCCTTGCCCTCGGTGGACCGAGTCAATCCTACTCCCTTTGCTCATCCGACGATGCAAATGTGGTTGCCAATTACCTCTACGATAACTTCCTCAGTGGTCAAGGAGGCCCATTTGGTAAGGTTACCTTGGATGGCATTCATTTTGATATTCAAATCGGTACAACCTCTTATTGGGATGACCTTGTGAATGAACTCGACAACATCAGAGAGGACAAGGACACTAAATTTTCCTTGTCCGCAGCCCCTCACTGTTTTCTCCCAGACCTCTACCTTGACAAGGCCATCAAAACTGGCAAATTTGATTACATCCATGTTAAATTCTTCGGTAGAAAGACGTGTGAGTTTTCTGGTGATGACGCTTCACAGGTTCTCAAGTCATGGAAGGCTTGGGTCAACAATGTTAAAGACTATGAGGATACCTCCTTATTCATGGAGCTACCGGCAGCAGCAGATCAGGAAGGTTATATACCACCTCAACATCTTAAGGAGGATGTCATTCCCTACATAACCCAAGCTCCCTCCTTTGCAGGAATTACTCTCTTCGACAGAGCACATGATGTTATTTCTCGATACAGCCAAATGGTCAAGTCTTCTATTAGTCCATCAAATGCTCGCAGATCACCTTTTTTACAACCAATTTAGTCCAACATATCCAATCCATGCAGTGTCATGGCAATGGTAATGGAAATGGTGGTATCTAGGACCATTCTAGCTAGCTAGTCTACCTATATATGCATGCTTGCGTGCATGAGTACCATCTGTGCACATGCATGTAATCTTCCTAGCTACCTGCCCAATCAATAATAAACCACTTGTAATTCCATTCCATGCACCTCTTGTACTGGATTTTATCTGCTTTCAATAAATTAATTAAGCTTGGCTCTATTAATTCCATTCCCCCTACCTATATTTTTATCCATTGATTACTACGTCAACATTCTTTATATATTATGCCTACAACAGGTGGCTTGGTTGGAACTGTTAAAGGACAGAGTTTGTCTATTACTTTCAGGGTAGAAAAAAATGGTGTTAGCTAGCGATAGAGATAGCGGTGGGAAGGAGGGGAGATTGTCGGAGGAGAGGTCCTTTCCATTGGGAGATGCATATCAAGTAGAATGAAAGTTTTTTTTTGTTTCACCAACAATGAAAAGATGTTAAATTTAACATTTACACGTTTCGACATGATATCATACTTCTTAACTACAGGTTGTGCTATATAGCAACTATTCCAATTATTTTGCTGCTGTGATATAGAAAAAAAAAAAACAAAAACCTCATGACCATAACTCTTAACTTTATTTATTTATATATATAACATTCATCTTTTGAGACTCTGGAGACTGGAGCCCATGCACCAAACTCCAACCCGAAATACAACACTGCCAGCAGAAAGATGTCAAAGTGTTCCTTTCCCTTGGAGCAGCTTTCGGACCCCAGGATGCAAAAGAAGTTGCCAATTACCTCTTCCAAAACTTCCTCAGTAACCAATTTGGTCCACAGGGAAGTGTAACGCTGAACGGCATCGATCTTGACATTGAAGGTGATGGTTATTGGGACGACCTTGTCAAGGAACTAGACGATCTCCGACAGCAAAACCAGTACTTTTACTTTAATGCCAATGCACCGATGGAAACATCGGCAACCTCGTTAGCGCATGGAACCAGTGGACTTCAAGCACAGTTAAACAAGTGGTTTTGGGGCTACCAGCGTCTCCCGAAGCTGCTCCAAGTGGTGGCTATATTTCCCCTGATATGCTACCTTCCCAACAGTTGATAAGTTAAGCGTGTTTTATTATGATGGGCAAAACCTGGAAGGGCTACTACAGTGATTATTGTTGGATAGTTTATGTGAGTTAGATCTAATGAATAAGAATGAAAAAAAAATTAAATAAGTAAGAATCACGTATAACCTAATATTTTAAAATTTTAAATTAAAAGTGGTGTCGATTTAGTTGTAATAATGTATCATTGATATGTTTCTTACTTACTGGGGTTGTAGTCATATGTCATTAATATGTTTCACTATAAATAAATAATATAAATAATGCAACTATTGGAAATGTTATGTACTCAATTATTATTATAACTTACAAGTAAGTTACTCTTTTAAAAGAAAAAAATAATTTGAAGATTGAATTGCTTTCAATTTTGATTATTATTATTTTTATTTATTTACTTTTTCTATTAAATTCAAAGATATCGTAAAACCTTGAGTCTTAGATCCTACAACAATTACAAAGATAAAGAATACGTTATTATAATTCAATCATCTTAAAATGTATGCTATATTTACTCAATCTCCATTAACCGTTTTATAAGTTCATATTATTCGACAATAATAGTGAATACGGTTATAATGGGGCATTTGTGTAATTTCAGAGAAAAAAATTGTGAGGAAAGCCTTGAAAGAGTCTAACGTTAATGATAATAGTTTGAAGGAGTTTATTTTCATAAATCTTATATGGATTTACATGGCTCCTTTCATCCGTTTCGAAGAAGTTATACAATGAAAAGAAGGGAATGGTAATGATTTATACTAGTGATAGAAAGTGAAAGGCAAAGGGAAATGGCAAGTATATTAATGAAATGTTTAGCATAAATTTATCATAATTAATTTATTCGAAGCGAATTCCAGTATATACACTTAGATGAAACGTGCTTTATTGATTCAGCTAGTATGCATAATAGGTATGGAACAAATGGGTTATTCCATTCCATGAAGAAAGAGAGTGCATATAGATAACTTAGCACGTAGGCCAGTAGGCAATATTCTAATAAATTGCTTTTCCAGAGGGCAAAACCACCATTTTCTTAGCTTGATCCTTGATTTTTTGGGTGAATTGAGTTTGATTATCAAGGGATCTGTCCCATATCACAATTCCTCCATAGTTGGAAGAATTCATGATGTAGGGAAGTATATCAGAAGTAACAACTTGTGGTGCTACATAACCACCGAGAGGAGCTACGGCCGGTGCTGCTGGTAATCCCAAGAATACCAAGCTATTAGATGGAACAAAACTGGTCCACGCATTCCATGAAGATAAAAGGAAAGTAGTAATGCCACCAGATGTATATTGGCATGAAGGGCTATTGTAGAACTTAACAAATATGTAATCGAAATACCCTTTTTTGATAGCTTGGTTAAGGTGGTAATCTGGGATAAAACATCGTGGGGCTGCAGACAAGTAAAAGTTCTGGTTTTGGTCTTTGAAAGACTGTAGTTCCTTGGCAAGGCAATCCCAATAAAGGTTTGAGCCTTTTTGAATGTCAAAATCAATGCCATCCAAGGTTACTTTTCCTAGTGGACCAGATTCACCGCTGAGGAAGTTACCATAGAGGTAGTTGGCAACCACTACTGCATCCGAGGATGAGCAGAGGGAGTAATCCCCTGAAGGTCCTCCAAGTGAAAGGAACACTTTCACACCTTTCTCCTGGCAGTGCTTTATTTCGGGGGCTAGTTCTTCACAAGTGCTCCAGTCATTACCACAATGGCAATCGAAGTTCCCTGATGGGGTTCTGCGACAACCGAACTTGTTCAAGAAGGATAGGAGGACAATGTCGTAGTTTCCAGTGTCACATGTGGCAGTCAAGGTTCCTTCATCTTTGTTTTGGCCCCAGTAGATGGCAATTTTCCCACCAGTAACCTCCTGTGGAGATTTTTTGGCCCAAGAGAATGTCAAGAGGGACAAGAGAACCAGGGATAGTGCTTGCCTTTTGAAACCCATGATTATGGTGTATCCTATCTTGAGTTTTATTTCCTTTGCCAATACAACCTATATTTATATTTATATTGGATGATGATATTTTCACAGCTCAATTTTTATATATAATTACTTGAAAAGTTCCCTACAACAGTAAAATTATTATATTATTATAAAATAATTGTATATATAAAACGTGCATCGTTCAATAAGTTAATTATAAAAACACTGAAATCAATATTAATTACACAATTCAATTAAGTGAAGTGAACAGTTATGATGTGTTTAAAGCTAAGTTTCGTGTTTTAAATGAAATAGATAAATATGGTATGTGATTTTTTTCTTCTTCTCATATTCAGTCTATAAGAATTCGTTAATAAACATACTGGTGTGAGTTTATATAATAATTTAAAAAATGAAAAAAATTATTAATTGAAAATAAATTTATTTATTTTTCTCATATTTGTTAAGATAAAACTTATTAAATCTATTGGGTTAAAATCTTTAAAACTAAAATCTATTAGACTAAATATGTGAAGTCCGTGAATTTAACATATCGGACCTGTGATTTGACTATAATTATGCTAGGAGCACTAACCACTCTCTTTTTTTTCATATAATTAATTTACAACTCGTTTTTTTTATTAATATTATACTAAAAATAGGTTGTTGAAAGAATACCATCATCGAGTAAAACAAGAAAACCGCATCATATACCAATTAAATGAAGCATTTGGGAAGGCAAGCGGTGACCCTTATGGATGGGATCGATACAAAAACTGCTAACTTCTGCAACTTATGGCAGCAGTTTTGAGTTTTTGTTTTTACGCCTGTGCCATGCATGAACGCTTGCATGGAGAGCAAAACAAAGAAAACCGCAACATATCCCAATCAAATGAAGGCAAGGAATGACCATTATCAATGGGGTACAAAGCTAGCTAGCAGTTCATTTGCGCAACGTGCATGCAACGTACGACAGCGCATGCAGTTATGTGTTTTATGATTACACGTCGAAAAAAGAAAATGCAGTGTAGCTGTGCATGGTATAAAAGATTAAGTCTCGTCTCTTGCATGAAGAAATGTCGTTTAATGAACTACAAGGATAATAAATATGTACAGAACACTTTTTTTCAGAATTATAATCATTATTACAAATTATTGGTGTTCTGAATTTCTGTTTTTCAAATTTGATTTATTATTTGTAACAAACACAAGAAAACATATCCCAATTAGATGAAGGTAAGGAATGAGCCTTATCAATGAGGTACAGAGCTAGACAGCAGTGAATTTGTAGAACGTGCATGTAACTTTACGACAGCACATGTGGTTGCATGTTTTACGATCTACACGTGGAAGGAAATGCGGTGTAGGTGTGTGCACGGCATGGAAAATTAAGTGTCCTGTATTGAATGGAGAAATGTCGCTTGATGAGGCTACGAGGATTACAAATAGGTTGGAGGGAAACATTGAATTGCATGAAACTAAGCAATTAAAGGTGTAAGGTGAAGAAAAATATAGAGAGAATGGGTAGTTGGGAGAGAGTATCACTGAGCGTGGTAGTGACTGTGTTGTCCCTCTTGACATCGTCGTTGGCGAAAAAGGAGAAACCAGGCATTGCGGTGTACTGGGGGCAGAACCCTGGAGATGGGAGCTTGCAGGATACATGTAACTCTGGCAACTATAAGATTGTCCTTATGAGTTACCTCAAGGAATTCGGTTGTAAGAGAGACCCAGCATTGGATTTTGATGGGCACTGTGGTGTGGGAATCAGGTCTTGTACAAGACTACGTTACGAAATTCAGAGCTGCCAGAGAAAAGGTGTGAAAGTGCTCCTTGCGCTCGGTGGACCAACGCAATCCTACTCCCTTTGCTCATCCGACGATGCACAAGTAATTGCCAATTATCTCTACGGTAACTTCCTGAGTGGTCAAGAAGGCCCACTTGGAGAGGTTACCTTGGACGGCATTCATTTTGATATTCAAATCGGTTCAGACTCGTATTGGGATGACCTTGTGAATGAACTCCAAAGCATCAGGCACGACAACAAAAACAAATTTTACTTGTCCGCAGCCCCTAAATGTTTTCTCCCAGATTTGTACCTTGACAAGGCCATCAAAACCGGCTATTTCGATTACATCTTTGTTGAATTCTACGGAATAAAGACCTGCCAATATTCTGGTGGGGAAGCTCCAGAACTTCTCAAGTACTGGATGGCTTGGACGGGGTATGTTGAAGACTATGATACCTCCCTATTCTTGGGACTTCCAGCAGCAGATGAGGAAGGTTATGTCCCACCTCAGAATCTTATCGACGACGTCCTTCCCTACATAATCCAAACTCCCTCCTATGGAGGAATTGTGCTACGCGATAGAGCATATGATCTCATAACTAAATACAGCAAAACAGTGAAGCCTTTTATTGCCCAACCATCAAAGCAATGGCCCGTTTCTCTGCGATCACCTTTTTCAGTACCAATTTAATCGATCATATCCAATCCATGCACGGTGATGGTGGCATCTAGGATCAGACTATGTAAGCACGCATGTGTAATTTTATCTATACACATGCATGAATATGTAGCTAATAAACCACTTTTAATTCCATTCCGTGCACCTCCTTCTATAATGGATTGGCTCTATTAATATCATTCTCCCTAGCTATATTCTTCTGCAAAAGCACTAAAGTAATGTATTTTATTTTTAAAAATATGTAAATGAGTAAGTCTTATTTAAACATTTGACTTCTCAGTTTTTCCCTTAAATTATAATATTAAACGCATGACTTCTTAAAAAAGCAAGTATAAACCCTATTTTTTACTTATCCGTTCATATAATTTTTTTTAATAAAAATTTAAAAAGAAAATTACGCCACTTTGTAGTTTTGCCAATATTCTTATCAATATACTTGTTTATTTGCTTAGGTTAAATAGAACACTTATATATATGTACAACTTTTTTTCTTCTCTTTATAATCTATAACTCAATTTAATAATATAATAATAATAAATATAAAAAATGAAAAATTAATAATAATAATAATAATAATAATAATAATAATAATAATAATAAAATGA